CCCATATGACTGTCAGCTGATTTCTCAACAGAAACTTTGCAGGCCAGAAGGGAATGGCAAGAAATATTCAAAGTGATGAAAAACAAGGATCTACAACCAAGATTTCTCTACCCAGCAAAGCTATCATTTAGAACTGAAGGTCAGATAAAGAGCTTCACAGATAAGAAAAAGCTAAAGGAGTTCATCACCCCCGACCAGCACTACAGGAAATGTTGAAGGGTCTTCTTTAAGAAGAAGCTAATGAACAAAAGAATCTGATGAACTAAATAGATGTAGAGACATTGACGCATGCAACAGATGATCATATTTCAGAGGAAAGAGGAAAGGGAGGGTGGAAGGTGGGAAGAGATTAGCCAAAGAAGTTATAGGCATATATGCATAACCCATGGGCACAGTCAATAACAGGGTGAAGGTCTGGGGAGGGGATGGGAGTGAGGTGGAGGGGGTCAATTGGGGGTGGAAAATGGGACACCTGTAATATTTTCAACAATAAAGATAAATTTAAAAAATAAATAAATAGATAATAAATAAATAAATGGCAAGTCAAATACCGCATATTATTAAGAGGAGTCAAAGATTGAAAGCTTATAAAGCAAATTCTCCTACTCTGCCTTACACGTTGTTTCCACATTAAAGGTCTAGATTAAATTTAGGCTTAGCCCAGCCGGCGTGGCTCAGCGGTTGAGCGTTGACCTAGGATCCAGGCAATCGGGGTTCGATTCCCAGCCAGGGCACATGCCTGGGTTGCAGGCTGAAGCTGATCAATGACTCTCTCATCATTGACGTTTCTATCTCTCTCTCCCTCTCCTTTCCTCTCTCTGAAATCAATAAAGATATATTTAAAATAAATAAATAAATAAATAAAATTTAGGCTTAACAATTAGACAACTAGAAAAATATCAAAGGTCTAGCCCGGCTGGGCGTGGCTCAGCAGCTGTTGCCCTAGGATCCAGGCGATCGGGGTTCGATTCCCGGTCAGGGCACATGCCCGGGTTGCGGTCTGCAGCCAATCAATGACTATCTCATCATTGATGTTTCTATCTCTCTCTCTCTCCCCCTCTTCTTTCCTCTCTCTGAAATCAATAAAGATATATTTTTAAAGAAGAAAAATATCAAAGGTCTAAAGGAGGGCAGAAAGCTTAAGCAGAAATCAGATATATTTAGTGCAAACGGTTAGACACTCTGTCCTTGTTTTAAAAAAAATATTTTTTATTGATTTGTAGATAGAGAGGAAGGGAGATGGAAGAGAAAGATAGAAACATCTGTGATAGAGAAATTGGTTAGGTGCCTCTTGCATGTCTGCTTCTGGGGATCAGGCCCCAAACTGGGGCATGTGCCCTGAGAATCAAACCAGTGACCTCTTGGAGCATCGGACAACACTCAATTCACTAAGCCACACCAGTCAGGCCATATTTTAAACTTAAGACCTCAGAGAGGAGAAGAGGATAGATTCATTCTGCCACGATTTACAAGAACTCAGGGCCTCCTGGCCCTGGTCTTACAATTACTTCCCAGGATAAAGGTCAATTTCTCCCTTTATAATACTGGCCTTCATTCTATGTTGAGCAGATAAAAGTTGCTACGTCACAGACTTGCTAAATAAATACTTTAAGGTTTACCAGATTTCTAAAACAAATAAAATATTCCCAGCATCAACATTGTATATTATTCACAAGTTTCTACTTACAAAGTCTTGACGTATATCGTTGAAGTCTTTGCCATATTTTTCCAGTGCCTCTTCAAATAAACTAGCTTCAGAGGCTGACCATTCTTCCATTTCATCTCTGCATAAAACAGGTCCTCCAAGTGGCACTAAGACACTAATTGCACTGCTCAAATCATAGCTGTGTCTATACAATGTATCCATAGCATGAAACTAAAGAAAACAAACAAAACAGAGAGAAAAGATCAGCCATAAATGCAAACTTCCTAGATTATTTAAGAATGAAATACTAAAGTGTATGATGCACTTAACAATAATATACTTACATAATATTTATTTTCTCACATAACTAAGAAAAATTTGAACAAGATTACTTAACAATTATTTAAAATATCATTTACTGCTGAAAATGTTCATTTGCGCCTTTTAAGGTGTGTTTTATTTTGTTTTTAATGCATCCATTTATTATAGCAACCTAACTATGAAGATCCAGGACCTCCAGGTATTACATTGGAAGCCCAGAAAGTTTATTATCCTTTCTGTTAAAAAGCCAAAGTCGCTTCAGCTATTATACAGGGCTGACACAACAGCCTTCCTGAAGGAGGGAAAAAATAGGATATGTATCAGAGAGTGAAAATAAAAATTCTCAGGTTGGATTAAGAGAATGAGGTACTAAAAAAAGAGAAATGGAAAGAAATAAATGGAACTGAGAATGAATGATAGTAAGACAAAACAAAATTATCCATGTTAAAGAGTGAACTTGGTTGACGTTTTTAAAACCTAGAACAGATGAGCAAGCATGCTTGGAACAGCTAGGTTCGGGGTGGAGGGGGTCCTGTATATTTCAAGGGAGAGTGATTTGAAGAATAATTTGAAAGGTTACAATAATGTAATTGGCTTTTTGCAAAAGTACCTTGGGTCTAGCATTTTCTTCCCATCAGAAGCAAAAACAAACTAGGTTCCAAAACTTTAAGTTCTGAAAAACTTGATGGTTTTTCTACTGGAGAGAAAGAGATCCATCCATAACATGTGTGTACATTTGTATGGGCAGCAGGAAAATTGCAAAATAGGACAATTAGTTCTGTCTCTGGATAGGCATCTGGTTGGTGCAGGTACGGCCAACAAAGTGATTATATCTTTGCCATGTAAGAACTAGTTCTATTTAAGCTTTCTAACATATGAAAGCCAAGTCTTGCAGCATTTTTTTTTACACAAAAAAAATCTACAGATATTAAAAATTTCACAAATGGTGACGTATCACATCTATGCAACAAGTGTCTTAAAATTTAGTTTATAAGTGATCCCTAAATATCTGGTAGGGGTCAGCAGACAGTTTTCTCCTGGTACAAGAGCATAAAATAAGCTCAAATATCAACTAACATCTATTAAAAAATAAAATATTATTAGCAAAAGTATGCATTAAAATATATATTTAGCCCGGCTGGGCGTGGCTCAGCAGTTGAGCATCAACCTGGGATCCAGGCAATCAGGGTTCGATTCGCGGTCAGGGTACATGCCTGGGTTGCAGGCTCAATCCCCAGTCAGGGGAGTGCAGGAGGCAGCCGATCAATGACTCTCTCATCATTGATGTTTCTCTCTCTCTCTCCCTCTTCTTTCTTCTCTCTGAAATCAATAAAGATATATTTATATATATATACACATATATATTTATACCGTGACATATTAAGACACTGAATAAGAGTACAGAATATAAATTTGTTGACAGAGTTAAAGGCAGGATTTAGGACCTGTAGACATGTTTAGGTTCAGTAACTAACTGCTTTAACAAGGGTTGGCATCTCACTTAAAATAAATCATTGGACTCAAATAAACAATCTAAACTTATACCTGAAGGAACTAGAAAAAGAAAAATAAGCAAAGCTCAAAGCGAGTAGAAGGAAATAAGAAAGATCAGACTAGAAACAAACAAAATAGAATCTAAAAAAATATATACAAAAAAATCAATGAAACCAAGGGCTGCTTTGTTGAAAAAGTAAAAAAAATTAATAAACCTTTAACCAGACTTAACAAAAAAAAGAGAGGAGCCAAATAAAATCAGAAATGAAAGAGAAGTGACACCACCACAGAAATAAAGGATTATTAAGAAAATACTTTGAAAAATTATATGCCAACAAATTAGATAATATTGAAGACATAGATAAATTCCTAGAAATATACAATCTTCCAAGAATGAGTCAAGGAGAAAAAATCTAAACAGATCAATAACTACTAACAAAACTGAATCAGTAATCAAAAAACTCCCTACAAACAAAAACGTCTTGGACCAAATGGCCTCACAGGTTAATTTTACCAAATAGCAAAGAAGAATTAACACCTACCATTCTCCAGCTATTCCAAATAAGGCTCTCAAGCTCATTTTATGAGGCCAGCATTACCCTTATTGCAAAACCAGATACAAAGTAAGAAAATTATAGGTCAATATCCTTGATGAAGATAAATGCAAAAATCTTCAACAAAATATTAGCAAGCCAAATTCAGCAATACATTAAAAAGACCATACACCATGATCATGTAGGATTTATTCCAGGCCTTCAAGGTATGTTCATTATCTGCAAATCAATTAACATAACACAACCATGTAAACAAAATGGCAGACAAATATCATATGATCATATTAATAGAATGCAGAGAAAGCATTATGACAAAATCCAGCATCCATTTGTGATAAAAACTGTAAGACACGTGGGAATAGAGGTAACGTATCTCAACATAATAAAGGCGAAATGTGACAAACGCACAGCTAACAACATACTCAATGGGGAAAAGCTAAAAACATTTTCATTAAGATCAGGAACAAAACAAGAATGTCTACTTTCACCACACTTATTCAACATAGTATGGGAAGACCTAGCCACAGCAATCAGACAAGAAAAAGAAACAAAAGTCACCAAATTAGGAAGAAGTAAACTGTCATTATTTGCAGATGACATAAGAGAACCCTAAAGATTCCAACCAAAAAACTATTAGAACCAATAAATGAATTCAGAAAAGTAGCAAGAAACAAAATTAATATTCAGAAAATCTGTTGCATTTTTACACATCAATAATGAATGATCAGAAAGAGAAATTAAGAAAACAATCTCATTTATAATTGCATAAAACAAAATACCTAGAAATCAATTTAACCAAGGAGTTAAAAGACATTAAAGAAAGAAACTGAAGAAGATACAAATAAGTGGAAGCATATTCGGAGCTCATGGAGAGGAACAATTAACACTGTTACAATGACCATGCTACTCCAAGCAATTTATAGATTCAACACAATTCCTATCAAAATACCAATGACATATTTCACAGAACTAGAACAAATAATCCAAAATTTTATATGGAACCACAAAAGACCCCAGATAGCCACATCAATCTTAAGATAAGCAAAGTTCAAGGAATCACATTCCCTGATATCAAACTATACTACAAGGCTATAGTAATCAAAACAGCATGCTTCTGGCATAAAAACAGACAGATCAGTAGAACAGAATAAAGAGCTCAGAAATAATTATTTAATCAATTAATATTTGATACAGGAGCCCGGCCGGGCATGGTTCGGCGGTTGAGCGTTGACCTAGGACCCAGGCGATCGGGGTTCGATTCCCGGTCCGGGCACATGCCCGGGTTGTGGGCTCAATCAATGACTCTCTCATCATTGATGTTTCTCTCTCTCTCTCTCCTTTCCTCTCTCTGAAATCAATAAAGATATATTTTAAAAAAAAAAAAGAAAGAAAGAAAAAATATTTGATACAGGAGACAAGGACATACAGTGGGGTAAAGACAGTCTATTTAATAAACGGTACTGGGAAAACTGGATATATGCAAAAAAATGAAAGTAGACCACCTTCTTACCCCATATACAAGAATAAACTCAAAATGGATTAAAGACTTAAATATGAGACTTGATACCATAAAAATCCTAGAAGAAAACACAAGCAGTAAAATCTCTTACATTTCTCTTAGTAATATTTTTTCTGATATATCTCCTCAGGCAAGGGAAACAAAAGAAAAAATAAACAGGACTACATCAAGCTAAAAAGTTTTTACACAGAAAAGGAAACCATCAACGGAATAAAAAGACAACCCACTGAATGGGAGAACATCTTAACTAATGATAGGTCTAATAAGGGGTTAATATCCAAAATTTATAAAGAATTCAGACAACTCAACGCCAAAAAAACGAACAATCCAATTCAAAAATGGGCAGAGGACCTCAATAGGCATTTCTCCAAAAAGGAAATACAGATGGCCAATAGACATATGAAAGGAAGCTCGATGTCACTAATCATCAGAGAAGTGCAAATTAAAACCAGAATGAGATACCAGGTCATACCTGTCAGGATGGCTACCATCAAGAAATCAACATGCAAGTGTTAGGGAGTATGTGAAGAAAAGGGAACCCTCGCGCTGTTTGTGGGATTGCAAATTGGTACAGCCATTTTGAAAAACATTATGGAGGCTCCTAAAAATATTTAAAATAGAACCACCTTATGACTCAAGCAATTCCACTTCTGGGTACTTATCCAAAGAAATCCAAACACCAATTTGAACAGATATATGCATCCCTATGCTCACTGCAGCATTATTTACAATAGCTAAGACCACTGACCACGTAGTCTTTTGCTGTATGTGTCATAATCATGGAATAATTTCAACTTTCAACTGAATTTCTTCTCACTCTTCTGTAGCAGGGGTTACAAACTGTTAGTATTCTTTATTCTTTTTTCATCTTTATTCTTTGCTTGTGCTCTGCAAACTCCAGCATCAAACTCCACTTCTCCAATCAACTTTCTCACTTGACAGACTTAGCAGTTTAGCTGTCAGGATGTTCTTATGTACTGTTACGGCATCCCTGAAACGAAATGATTCTTGTTTCTGGACACATGACTTATGAAAGTGAAAAGAAAGCTCAACAGCACTTAGCGACCCTTCAATTATACTGTATTTATACACGATCTGTTTTAACCCTCGCCTGAGGATATGCTGAAAGAGAGAAAGTGAGACGAGAGAAACACCCATCAGCTGCCTCCCCCACGCCCCGACTGGGAATCGAACCTGCTACCTGCTGGTGTTCTGGACAACACTCCAACCAACTGAGCAACCCAGCCAGGGCCATAAGTGATTATTTTTAAAACTCCTAAATTTACAATGAATAACAAAACTAAAAAAAAAAACACTAAATGGTATTCAAAATCAATAATTAT